ATTTACTTTATATGGACACAATGGAAATTATACCTGGTAAAGAGGATGGCTTATTTTTATTTATTTGTCAAGCAAGTATTAGGTAACAGGTATAAGTGTAAGCATGGTTATGAATACATGGATACATATAAGAAAAATAAAAGAAACAATAGGACAGGGACGGTAGACACGTTGGTGCGCTTATGCATGCCCCCTACAGACCTCTTAGGAAAGGGGTGAGGTCAATAGTAGAAAATCTAAGGTTAACGTTTTTGGGGTTTGAGGAAGAAACCACAGTCAGGTAGAGTATTCCAGGCATTGACCACTCTGTTGCTGAAGTCGTAGTTCCTGCAATCAAGTTAGGTGCAGTTTACCTTGAGTTTGTGTACTCTTGTATTGTTATTGACGATGGAACTTGGTACAGCGAAGATACATATTTATTTCCCGCTTTAATCATTTTTACAAATAACACAAGGCAGTAAACATATCCAACACACCTTCCTCCTCCTATTTCCGCCACAACAACCTGTGAGTTGGGTTGGACTGAGGTCACCCAACTGACATTCACACGCCTAAGGCGGGACTTGAATCGACAATCTTCCGCTTTCTAGCTGGTGAACTAAACTGGCTCTCATTAAATCAGATATTGTAACTGTATTGGTTGCCTAGAGGCTTCTGAGACTAATTCAAAGTACTAGTTGTTTCCTATAAAAATCTTTGATTCTAGTCCTCATTATCTTTAGGACCATGGCTCCAACTATAATCTGCCTGTGCAATACGTGCTAAGAGGACATGTCCCACATTTCTACCCCCAGGGGTAAGAGAAGGACCTGGCTTTTTCGCGATACATTTCCTTCACTCTAGAACAGTTTGCCTCCAAGGTTAAAATGGCCTGGTGTTCTTCTTGAAAGCAGTGCAACAGAGTAGTATAGTATTTGGAAAGGAAAGGGATCCATAACAATGGCAGCCCCTAATTGAGAGAGTGGCTGCTGGGATGGCTTATTTGATACTGTTTAAATATTGTCTGTTTTGTGGCTTTCCAGGTGATTTATTCTTGTGCTAGTATTAGGAGTTTGCAGCATATAAATATTTGTATAATTGAAATATTTAAAATATTCACAACACAGCTAGGGACAAGTAGTGCTGTTTTGTACACAAAAATCTAGGCTGTCGTTATTAAACCCGCAGTTGGACTTTTATAACAATGATGTAACAGAAAATAGAAATTTCCTCGATGCATTTGCTCTCTATGCATTTGAGATTGATTTTCTGACTTTGATGTTACTCACTGGAACATCTTTTTAGGCATGATGCCCATGATTAATTTCCTATTTTTATCTTTGGATCATGATCATTGTATACAATGTCTCTACATATTCATTGCCCTGTGTGTATATTCAAATGTTCATGTGCATTTTATAGCCCTGTTGTTGTCATCTCTGAATTTTTTATGTAGTAGGTTTAGTCAGATCCCAGAGGATTTTGTGAGGAAAATCGCTCATAGTACTTAGGAAAATAACCTCAGAATATATTCTGAGACGAACTCTCAGAATCTTAGATTTATCACCTTGGCAACTTGAGCCCCCTTCTCAACAATTTATTTTTCTTCCCGGGAACTGCTTCCCATCTCCCTGAAACCCAGATGCTCCCTGGAACTTGGAGTCCCACTGGCGCTATTTCCTCTTGTCTCGCTGGGCCTCGGAACTACCAAACCCACAATTCCAGGCGTCCTCTCGGCCCTCCGTGGCAGCTTGTATCTTACCTCTTCGCTCATCTTTAATTTACGAGCCGGGAAAAAGAACTACAACTCCCGACAGCGCTTAGAGCTTCACCGGGCCTCCGCCTCTCTCAGCTGGCTTGAAAGGCTGTTATTGTTGTTACTAAAAGATTAGTGGACCAGCTGGTTGCTCTCTGGGTAAGAGACGTCTTCGGTACTGGGGAAAAGGGCTTTTCTGTTTTTCTCTCCTCCTTGCTTTATCTTTGTTAAATTGCTCGGAAGCATCAGATTTGGGGTGTATTTGGGGAGGGGGACACCTCTCCCTTCTCTCTTTTGAGTTCAGGAGTTTTTAATCAACTGCACTTCCCGTCGGGACAGGAATCAAAATCCAAAAGGAGGCTGTGGATGCACAGGTTTTCACTTCTCCCGGCATGAAAGGGGAGAGAGAAATGTACGAAAGGCTTCAGTGGGCCTTGAAAGTCTGAACTTGCAGCACAAAAAGCAGGCAATTGGGAAGAGCACCCGTTGAAAAAGGGAATTTCTAACCCGCTAAGCGTGAAAACCCTAACCTCTGTTTCACATCGATCTCCCCGTTTCCTTTATACAGACAAGCACTGTTCAGTGTTGGGACACCCCAAATCTTTTCTTCCTGTTTTAACTGTTGGAAATATTCGCTGCCTGTGATCTTTCGCTCCTTTCTACTAATTTTCACTTCGGGATCCATTTTGACTCCAAAAGTCTGCCCCCCCCCCCCCCCAAACCCTAAACGTAACTGCGACGAAGCTTCGACTTTCGTACAATCTGGTGGTTATGCGGGAGAAGGCAGGACGGGATGAGGCTTGTAGATTCTTGCAAGCTTACAGTCATTTTCTTTGTTTGGCTTGAAGCTGCCCAAGTCTTAAGCCGTAAGACGCCAAGAGGACGGCGCCTTTGCAGCAGAAGAGTTACAGCTCTCTTCCCACCCCCAAAAAGGAGAGGTGGGGAGGAAGAGCCGCCTCCATTCCCTAAAAGTCCATCAGAAAACTGGGAAGGGAGGGAGGGGGGGTTGGTTTTTGCGCATCAGGCCAGCGAGGCAAAGCATTTCTTCCCACGCTTCCGCTCGTCTCTTCCCAGAAGCGGCTCCGCGGTCGCTGGTTTGTTTAGCTGGGCTCCCTTCTCGGTTTCTGATTGGCGTTTGCCTTGGAGAAGCTCCGCTCCGGGGCTCTAGTTGCTCCCGGGGAAAGGAATGTAGCAGCAGTGCTGGGAGGTGCCAGGCTTGGGCTTCGTGCCCACGTAGCTCGTCTGGGTCACGCGGGGGGAAGCGCGTTTCCTTGGCATGCGGCGGAGAGGAGGAGAGACTGTCTAGTGCGGGCAGGCCCGGCTCCACCTGGTTTCATAACAGGCCTCTCTTGTGAGGGAGGTTTGCCACGTCCGAGCTCTCTCTCCCCCACCCCCCACTTAATTTACACTAGTCATATGGAAGCCCATATGAGGTCTTCAGAAGAACGCCCTTATTTATCTGAAAGGGGGAAAAATCTGAACCTTTAAGATTCCTCCGTCCCTCCGAAGGTTAGATAGAAAAATCTCTTCTCCCTTTGCTGTATTCTCAGCCTATGTAAGGTCATCCCCCATTGTAAATATAAATTACCTGAAAGGACAGGTGGAGGGTTGGTCCTTTCAGCTGAATACTGCCGCTGAAGAGGTTGATACTGAACTCTTCCTTTTTGCCCGTTGAAATAATACAAGAATCTGAACATAAGGTTGAGGAAAGGTAGAAAGAAGCACCACTGAGGCATTTCCAAACGAGGCATTGGTTGTCACAAGATATCATGATACCTAGTAACTTGAAAAGGCAATTAGATTCGGGGAAGGTAATCATGAGTAATTAGGAAAAAGACCTCCAGGCCGAGATTAATGTTAACATTCAAGAAAGACAGCGTAACAGTGAAACTGAGCCACCTAGAGTTGCATATGTGGGATGGGCAGCTGTACAAATTGAACTAATAAAAATGGAATAATAGAACCGATAAAATGATCAGTGGGCCCAAGTCATTATCACTGAATGTCAAAAATGCCAATGTGAATAAATGTGAATTAAAATGATTTTTCATTATGCATCTTGACTTTAATAACAGGGAAAACCTCTAAAGAAGTGGGCTGTTTCTCAGGTTGGGAGTCTGAACAGAAAAACCATTCTTGATACCTAATAAATGTGTATAGGACGTTATGCGATCATAACAGCACATTATGCGATCCAACAGCACATTATGCGATCATCATAGTACCCATTGGATTGGGCAGAATTCTTTGAGAGAAAACAGTTATCCTGATAGGGGGTGCATACACACACATATGCCCTGTCTATCATATACATACATGCATACACACACACGCACACACGCACACAAATAATTTTAATATTATTTGCTTTCAAAGCAAGCAGTATTACGCAAAGTCCAGAAAAGGAATAAGCTGCAAACCAAATAAATTGAAAACATGAGATAAGAAAGATAAGTAAATAACTGCAGATCTCTATATCTTACAAAGCCCCTTTGTTTTCGCCATATCCATACAATGCTTGGTTCATAGTGCATCGTGTACTCTTACATCTCTCATCTCTTACCAGCTCTATCCAAATAACAGCTTTCTGGGTCTTCCCCTTCTCAACTCATTCTTCCTATATTAGTTTTTAATTTGATTCACATTCATTCTTTCTATATAACCAAGCTGCCACAATGTACTACTTTCATACTGGTCACTTATTTTTGTATTTAGTCCACATTCATCACCTGTTTATTTTGACCCCTTATCTTTTAGTCATGTTTTCCTATACTGTACATGCTTCTTCAGGAAGTCGAATTCCCACAACATTAAACTTTTGTGTTTCTCCTCACCTGCCCTTCTCACTTCGGTGTTCCGAAAATATTCCTAGGCCTGCCATTTTGTAGGTCAGGAAATTTCTGTAATTTGGTATAGTAGTTAGCAATATGGCATCATTTTCATACCGGTCTATATATATTTCACATCCTCCACTAACATACTTCTGATGTCATCACATGCATTATTTATATATTTGTCCACAAATGTAATCAACCATTTTGTCTTAATCCATGCTCAATGTTGAATAAGTATTTCATATATTCTTCTATATTATTAGATGTTTTACTTTATAATTGAAGCCTATTTATTGTATCATCCACTTTCTCTCAATCGTCCATGGGCATTCTCATTTTTTTTTTCTGTTTCAGACTTGCATCACATATGCCGGGTTGATTTACAAGGAGTTTACTGGTGAGTAGTTTTGCAGTAAATTACAAAGGCACAGTGTGGCCAGTGCAAGTGCATGCAGTGCTCCAGGAAATATAGGGAAGCGTGGCCTTGCTCATGGCTGCTCAGATTACAGCTCATCGTGGGACTGGATTTCACCAGGGTTTGACCTTCATCACCTGACTTCTTCAGCACCTGTTCACATTGATTTTTCTGCTGATTCAGCCTTAGGTAACTGATTATCCACTGACTTCCAAGGCTGGCACACCAATGACTCATACCTCTCTGCCCAAAACACATTCACACCATTCTGAATGACCTATCAAAGAGCAAAACATCGATCTATATGCCACCTGCAATGCATAAAGCTACATTGCATTGACAAATTTTTCTCAATGACATTTCTCATAACTTTTCATTTAGAATTTTACTAAATGCCTTGCCCAGGCACGCTTAACAACTAATCCCCTTTACATCTTACAACCTATTTATGATATTTATTTATTATTATAATCTGATATGAACTATAAGTGAGTGATGAAAATAATAAAAAAATTCTGGCACACAAATTTCGGCACTGATGGCTCCATACGCATCAGTTCATACATGTTTTCTGGAAGAGAAAAGAGTTTTTCTAGAAAAGCATGAAATATCTCCTGTTACACCATCTACAGCAGTGGTCCCCAACCTTTTTTGTACCACAGACTGGTACAATCCACGGACCGATCCACGGACCGGTACCAGCTCAGCACGCACGACCAAGGCAAGGCGAGCCGAGTGACCGGCCAGCCAGCCGTCCCCCGCTTCTCCACGCCACCATCAACTCCTCCTTTGTACCTTCTCGCGGTCGATGGGCTTTTTGGGCTCTTTCTTAATCTCCTCCTGAGTAACGCAAGACTCCACTGCCATCGGGATGGCTTTTCGTTCGAAACCGCCCCCACCCCACCCCTTTGACGAAACTAAGGTGCGAGGATTCCTTCAATTTCATTTGAAACAAGGTTGTGCATTCAAAAGCAAATATGTTTAGTCCTTTTTCTAAGCAGCCATTTTCCAAGACCACCATTCTTCTCTGAAGTGCACCGTCCTTTTTTCTGTATTTTTTTCTTTTTCTGCCCAAAACATTAATGTCACCTAATGGAATGCTTTCTTTCCCCCTTCGTTACTTTAAATCTGAATATTGTACAGGTTTTATTCAAATTCATCTTTAGTCCTTCTATTATCGTAATTCATTGGAGCGTAATATGCAATTGTCACTAAACTCTGAAGTTTTACTTACATATAACATCCTGTAACATCCTAAATAGCACTATTTCGTACTTTCTGACATATGTTTAGCCCTTTCATTCATAATTAACCTACACTTTTACTTGCATTTATTCATTACTCTATTCCACAGACCACTTCCTTATTCAGATCTGTTGCATCCTTCCCCTTCCTTAAGTTTCACAGATATACACCATATATTGTTCCTTCCTTTTTATCATTCATTCATGTCCCTTAACATGTATCCCTTTACAGTCTGAGTTGCGTTCTTCCTTTGCCATGGCCATGGCCATCTACCCAACTTGTAGCTGTGACTTCTACCACCATGGCTTTGTACAACTATGGCTTTGGCACAATATTTTTATTATATTTGACATAATGACTTTAGTAAATTTCACCTAAGATGTTAGCTTTAGTCATATTTGTGCTACATGCAGCATTCTCTGCTAACAGTAATGACAGTATGGTACCAGTTAGTTTTGACACATTATGATTTTATCTCATAAACACAACCAACATTTTTTTCATCTCAAACATGCCCAGACTATTAGTACAAGCTCAAATCTCTAGTCCAGAGAGTACTTTGCAAATCAGCATATTGTTGTCTGCATTCCACCAACTACAATGCAGTATACTGATCTACAAACAGAAAGTATTTTCAAGTGCCTTATTTATTAAAATTATATAGATTTCCCAATTTTGAGGCCTCCTGATTTTCTAAAACTACAACTTCTACCACTTCTAGCCAGCTTTCTGAACTATTCTGAAACTTCTGGAGGCATATATGCTAACCACAAACACCAGATATCTACTCTGAATGCTACTTGCCAGGAATTACAGCTGTCTTGTCATTACACGTTCTGATTTGGCTTCTTTCAAGCTCATTTCTTGCTTCAGATGGGGCGAGATATGTAGCTGGTTTCATCCAGGATGATTCCTCTTAATGCTCCAGAAATAATATAGAAAAAGCTAAACAAAGTCAGGTCCACAAAGTTGTGGGCATACAGACAGGAGAATTACATTCTCCTATATCTAGGCGATAAATTCATTTCTCTGACAATAGCATATTGTTCAGATAAACAATCCCTAATCTTAAAGTACGGCCTCACTGGAAAAAGCCACGGTTGTTATTCTTGTTTCTGCTTCCAAACTTTTATAACTGAATGCTTCTGGAAACTTGGGGTATGGAAGGTTCACTGTTTATATACATGGATGTTCCAGTTTGTTTTATGTGTTTGATCTTGTGGTTTACCTACACACCAAGAAAAGCCCCCATCCCCAATTTGGAGTTTATCCTATGTTTATAACCTTTAATCTCTTTGAGGAAAGGGGGCAGTTTAGAAAGGTAAAAATATAAATGGATGGATGAATAAATAAATAAATAGATTTATTTATTTATTTGTTCGTTTATTTATTTATCTCATCTGCTCCAGTCAGGATTTGCTGGGATAATGATGATACATGTTTGCATGCCAGGTAGGCTAATTTAATCTTTTTCTTAAAGCAGCAGCCATTGCGTTGCCTAGAGAAATTAATTTCACAAGTGGGTGTTGATGGAGACCACAGTTGGGATTATGGGTGGATTAGTCACGAAGGCTACAGCTCGGTTTGGCTTTCCTGGTGCTCCCATTAGCCAGATGTCTGTCCAGGTGCTCAGTCTGTGAGCTCATATGCTCTAGCCCTGTGTTTCCTGCCTGGAGCAGAGAGTGGCTTCGATGGCCTAAAATGAGGGTGAGCAGAAGGTAGATTTGGCTCTGCCGGTAGACCTCTTAACTTGAAGTAGAGTACCAAAAATTTCCAACTCCTGACTGGGCAACAGCAACAATAGTTTTCTGCTGTCATAAAACCAGGCTGCTGAAACAAAGGAAGTTGCACAGAAGTGGATTTTGTATAAGCAAAATGAATTCTAATGCAGTCGTGTCCTGGATCTGGCATGGTGCTGAGAAACATTTATTTTTGTGTACTTCATGCCTATCCCCACCATAATTTTGAACCTCTAGTCACTGGATTTGGGAACCTTGTAAAAAAAAAAAAAAGAGTATATCCAATACGTCTGAAATCTTATTTTTCCTGCCACCTCATTCATTCCTACTGATTTATAAAGCCAGTCATGTATTTCAAATGTACATGTCTTAAACACAAAGGTGTGTGTGTGTGTGTGTGTGTGTGTGTGTGTGTTTTCAAACTTCCATATTTGTGATGGAGCTACGCTTTCTCCTTTTTGGGGGTGGAACACACACACACACCAGTATATCAACAGTGAAGTGCTCTGCTGTACTACAGAGTGGCAAATTGTCACATTAGGCCTGCTTGCTCCTAGATCTCCTGGGTTAAAGGAGGAGAAAGATTGTCAGACGCAGTTATACAATGCTAGTTGCCATTACAGTTTCATGGCCAAACTTGTTAATACTTGCTGTGACCCTTTGCTTCTGTTGTAAATGCCAGAAACAAGCAGCTATTATCTAGGCCGCATCCCATTGTGAGGGGCTGATCCTTTGTCTTGTTGATAGCAAATCTTTCTCATCCGGTCCTTGTAATATTATAGTGCTAAAATGCCAGGGCCACAGCTTGGTTGGCCTTCAAACAGATCTGCCCTTCAATGTGAGATTCCAACAAAAAGTTTCATTTCCACTAAACCCTACATTAAAAAAAGCCTTGAAATTACATTGCCAGTGTATATTGAAAGACATAGTGGGAAAAAAGTCTTTTAAAAGCACTTTGTAAGGTTATGAACTGCTTGGGAAAAGCAACATCCTTTCTTGCCATATGTTGGTCTCTTAAGAAAAGTTTTCACAGATTCAGGATGCCCTATAACGAAGAAAGGTTTGCCTCTGAGTGCCTCTCACTTCATTTTTGATCCCAACAACAAACTTGAAGGAAGATCTTTCATGCATGCTATGTTCTGGTCCAACCAAAGCTTAAATTTATTGCCTGATGCCTTTATTTATTCACTTCCTAAGTTAGTTCAGCATATCCCATTCACATTTCTGCAGGATTCTGCTTCTTCTGTTGATTTCTCTATGAAGGAAAGCCTTATGATTTTCCATAATTTATTTAGAAGTCAGATGGGATTCAGACCTGTGCTGTGATTTCCCACCGAGATCATGGTAGGTGCGGGTGGGCTATTAGGTCTCTCTGTCCCTCGTTTTGAAACAGATATTGTACAAAAGCAGCAATAAGCAGCCTTTTGAGATGTGCTCATTTTCCTGAAGAGCTCAGTGAACTTCTAACACACACACACACACACACACACACACACACACACACAAAGAGGGGAGACCCAGATGTAAAAGTGCTGGATCCTTAAGAGCAATTAAGTTTTGAAATAAAAAACAAAAAACTTTTTCATGTATAAGATGAGGTTATAGAACAAAGATAAAGAACTATTGTGGTCCTTTGGGTGTTATCAGATTGCAGCTTATTTTTTTTAATCATCCCTGTTCTTTGGCCATGCTGGCTATGCCAAATGAGAGTTGTAATCCTACATATCCAGAAGGACCTGAGTTAAGTGGAGGCTGTTCAAATCTCACTTGTTTTTCCCCTTCCTCCTCTGCAATGAAATCCCATGGCATAGCCTTTCTCAATGAGAAGTGGTATTCAAGAACTGGTAGCGGTGATTTGGCATGGCTTGCTGAATCAGTAGCGCCCCCTGGCTGCTCATGCCCCCGACCGGGTCACCTGGTCGCTCACTTGCCCCGGTCGCTCTCCTAGCTTTCCCTACCACATGGCAGCCGTGGCGCAGCTTGGGCGGATGTCCCAGGACTGCTGCACATGCGCACTGCGTGTGCAGCTGCTACACATGCAGTGCGCATGTGCAGCAGCCCTGGAACATCCACCTGCCTGCCCATCCTCGCAGAGCATGTTTTCTTCTCCTGGCGCATGCGCCTCTTCCAGCCCGGCCCAGCAGCCAGGTGGGTGGGCAGGTGTCCCGGGGCTTCTCACCCCCCTTGTCATGAGAGGCCTGCAGCTGCTGCATGCTTTTTTCCTGTGCGGCTGCAGTCTAGCAGCTGCACTGAAAAAAGCACATTCTGTTCTATGTGCCGGGCCCAGCAAGTCTGAACCGCCGGTGCAAAGAACAGGGCAGCACCAGACCATTGGAAAAGCAGAGCAAAGCCAGAGATCAGTAGCTGCATCTTTCTCAGTGCAAGAAGCCTCCCCGAATTGGCCATTTTCGCTGGCAGGGTGCTCAGACCACCACAGGAGGCCCCTGACAAGAGTGACATCGAGCTGGCCACACCTATCCTGACCGTGCCCCCCCAGCCTCACCCCCCCCAGGTCAAACACAATCCTGATGCGGCCCTCAATAAAATCATGTTTGACACCCCTGGTTTAGAGTTTCTTGTTTTTCCTCGTCCCATCTACAGATAGGATTAGCCTGCCTCCATAGATTCTGTGGCTGCTTGCATACATAACATGTAAGCTGCCCAGAGTCATGGATTGAGATGAGTGGCTATAGAAAATGAATAAAGAAATAAAATAAATACATGTTGTTCCAGGATCAGTTTTGTGTTCCCTTGTGACCCCACAATAATGCTCCTATTTAACAACTCAGACGTTCATTTCTGGCTCAAATGCAGTGCAGCTCAAAACTTATGAGTCCAGTTTTATCCCACGGAAATGCAGAAAAATGGGGAGAGGGGCGCCACGGGAGGTTCCCCCAACCAATCACTGGGTCTTCCTGATGCTTCTACTTCATTCAAATATCATTTTAGGGTTCATGGATCAGTGAAATGGCGAGCACAAGAATGTTGCTAGGGTGGCCTTTCTGTTTAATGAATTTCTTCTACATTTCTCTAAAGCACCAAATCAGTGAAATTTGGGGAGGTGGGCAGCTTTGCCGCTGTCATTTGTTATGCTGTCCTCATGGAGAGAGAGCACTGGTTGCTTATCGGGCTCCTCGGTATCTTGTGGCAATAAGAATGATCACAAGCTCGGTATGAAAGCGTCCCTGAGGGCTTGGGGAGTGAAAACGATGACAGGTCTATGTTCAGACTTTTTATGCAAACAAGAAAAAGAGGGTTCCAGAGCTTTTCTCTTTCAATTTTATTCTCTTTCCGTCCCTTCTACATCCATCCTCTGAACCGTTGGCTCTCCTGCTGCCTTTCCCTGAACCCTGCAACGCTCTCCTTTGCTGAAATTATGCCATTGTTCTTACAGCTCTGAACTGCGTTGGCTGACTTTTTTTTTTTTTAAAAAAACCCTTTTTCTCTCTCCTCCTTCTGCTGCTTCTTTCCATCATTAACTAGACTGTAAGTGCCTTGGGGACAAAGATTTTTCTTTTTTATGTGCCTACTGTATATACGCGCTGCAATGTACCATGTAAACTGACAGGGTGGTATAAATAAATCATTATAACAATCAATAATTAACCGAAGTATCCCAGTGATGGAAATACAATCTGCAAACATTAAGAAGGCCATCCTGGCTCTGTCCCTTCCTCCTGGCTTCCATCCATGTTCCATTGTACATACGCTGCCACTCCTAATGCTTTTTCCTATTTCCTTTCCTGTCCAAAAAAAATCCCAACAACTCCCCAAAATTGTTAAATGCTCCTTGTTGTTTCAGAAAAAAACAACAACAACTTTAGGACCAGAGTATGTGGATTAAACTCTTGCATGTGCAGTAAGCAGTTTAATGCAATTACATAATTTAATTTGTGGCTTCCATCTGTAAGCAATACTGTGCAAAAATGCCAGCAAATTTGAGGATAATGCCAGGGAAAATATTAAGCTGAATGACATGCGGGTAGATATAGTAAACTCTTCCATATTTACTTTTAATGCGTGCATTTTTGCACATATCCATCCTATCCTTACCTATGCCCAGAAGGAATAGAATTAATACTCCAGAAATAATATGAATTTCAGCTTTTTCCTGATTTTTTTAAAAAATCTATAGATACTGTGTAGATAATAATTACAGGTGTCCTGTTCTCATCCCTGATGAGAAGGTGATAATTTCATGTCCCAAGACAAATTCTTTTTTCCTTTATCCTGTATTTCTGCTCCAGTTAGCAGTGGCTGTTAAGGGTTTTCAGCAGAAAGAAAGTCTTTCTTCCATTCTGCTACATAAGAGGGCAGGGCTTGAGAGGTGGCCTTTGTCAACACTGTTTTGGTGCGTAAAGCTAGCCTTGCTCATATTGCAGGTCATGTCCTGAGATGCATTTGCTGGGAAGCCAGTAGAGCAAACCACATGGGGCAGAAATCTAGGATTCCCATCTTCAAAGAAAGAGCAGAACTAATTAATTAACCAAAGGTGGCCTACCTTATGACATCATAAAGTAAATTAAGTAATATACATTGCTGTGCAAAAGATACCAGTTCCTCAACTAAGGGCGGAATCTAAAACAATCCACCTGCACAACAAGATGCCCATTAAGTGCCCATCTGTCTAATTTAGTTCCTTGAACTATCAACTACTTTCATTTACTTTACAGTCCAAGTTACTAAGATGGAGGAGGCGCAGTCCCACCCCAGTGTAGTTTTCCTGAATGTGGCCTCAAGTTACGTACCCCACACCAAGGTGGAGTGCTACTACAATCTGCCACCTGGCATGAAGCCATCAACTAGAGATTGGATTGGCATCTTTAAGGTACTGCAAATGGGGACAAATGGGATGATTATGCTTGAATGCGTATGGTTGCATTTCAGGACATTTCGGGAGAAATTGTAATCAAGCCTATATGAACCGCACACGTTTTGTTACCTATTATTTTTATTACTTGCAGTTTTGACAGCACTCAGGAACCTGGCGTCTCATTCAGATCTAACTCCACTTTTTGTAGCATCAAGGGATGGACGTATGTTTTTCTAAACAACAGCATTCAAAGTGGGAAAAAAAGACCCAGACAAGATTTTCTGATGGTCTCTCATCTAAGTGCTAAACAAAGTCTAAACCTGTGTAGCTTTCCTGGGTCCTTCATATTTACCAGGAGAATATACCTTCTTTCAGTTAAGAAGATATATGTTGTTCTGCACATGATCAGAATACCCTGCAAGTAGAAAGATAGTACTGCTCTCCTAGAACTTTGCATTTTCAATATTCTGATTGCTATTGTCTTCTAATTCGTAAGGAATTCTATTTATTTATTAAATGTATATACTACCCATTTCACTATCAAGCAACTGGGCAACTTTTCACATGATCAAAACAACAGTATAAAACCTTAAAACATTAGATAATTAAAATTAACAAAAGTTAGCTAGGATAGGAATTTTGTGTAAAGAGCAGCGTTAAAAAAATACATTCTCACACTCAAAGGTGGTTCCATCCAAAATTGTTGCCTTTGCAATGGACCTTCAGGGAGAGTTACACAAGTACAACCTCTTCTAATGCTACCTTTCCCATTCCTTACCTCAGGTGGACGCTTCTTCGGTACGTGACTATTATACTTTTGTGTGGGGAATCATGCCAGATGGTGGAGCTTCTGAAGGAACCCTCCATTGCAGCGTCCAGTTCCAAGGTAGGTATGTTTCAAGTGATTCAGAGCAGGTTCATCAAAGCATACATGGCTAAATGTTTTGAGTAATACCTGAAGAATGACTTCCTGCCCGAGCAGAATGGTGACGCAAGATAAAGTAGATAAACAGGACAACTGGTCTTACTGAACTTGGTTTCAGCAATCTATCTGGCCTGCCCTTTCAAAACAGCTTAGGGAAAAATTCATGGGAAACAATAAATGGTCCACAGTGCTCAAATCAATCCTATGCAGTGAATTAAAATAAAATGCCGATTCGTACTAAAAGCAAAGCAAAAAGATCTCTTAACAGTTCATTGGAAATTCAGAAAAGAGAATGTTAATCGAAACTGAGATCCTGATTTCCTACCCCTGGTTTTCCTTTTATCTGTGACTCATTAGGAGCCAAGCAATAAAATAAAGCCTCATACTCAGAAGTCAGAAAAGTAATACAATGAATACGTTTGTCCTTTCACAGCTAGCTACTTACCTAAACCAGGTCCGCAGCAATATCACTTTCGTTATGTGGATCGCCATGGAGTGGTGCATGGCCAAAGTTCTCCTTTCCAGTTCAGCGAACCCCGTCCCATGGATGAGCTCGTCACTCTAGAGGAGGCCAGCGATGACGGAGGTGGAACTGATATGCTGCTAGTGGTTCCCAAGGCCGCTGTACTTGAGGTAGGATATGCTAAGCAACCCTTGGTCCTCGCTGTCAGCCAATGTTCTTGACCCTACACCCACTTGAAGTATTTCCTTCTTTGAGTATAATTTTTTTGTATGACTAGTTGCTTGCTGCCTAACTATAGCATTCAACTCGGCTCAGGAAATTCTAAATTTCACTCAGCTATGAAATGCTCTAGATTTTAGTCCTGTTTACATTTTTTTTTTCAACCCAACCTATTTTGTGAGGTTATTGTAGACATTCTTAGCACCCTCTAGAGAAGGGATGGCTTAGAAATAAACAGCGACAAACTCAAGCTTGCTGATTTTAATTCTGTTCCATATCATACCTAATACAAAGGGAATGTTATCATATCTATATTAAATACACAATCACTTCTGCCATAATTAAAGGTTAAGCAAAACCAGCAGTGAGAGAAAGGCCCTATCCCTGGGAATCATTAGTGGAAAATATACTGGTTGCTTCCTTTGAGTCAGCATCTTCACTTCTTTCCACATTCAAATTTGGAGGTGCATCCTGGCACAAATTAAACTCTTGACCTATGACCTGACATTTTCCTCAGCATTGGTGTCACAAGTTGGTCTTCTTCATGCGCCTGGCTCCAACGTCCATCCACCTCAGCTAACTTGGCTAGCAGTCTAGAAAGTAGTCCAACAACATCTCTGCGCCCAGTCTGCCCTCCTAAATGAATGAGGTGGAACAAGAGTTTTAAGATGTCCTGGGCCATCCATCCAATATTAAATGGCTGACCTTCTGCTTTCATCAGGCTAAGAGAGCAGAGCTTTTCGATCTCCTGGAACTATACCAGAACCATTAAGCTGCTACTCAGACATTCCTTATTTGGCTTCGCTGTATAAAAAATTAAGTATCTGAAGGCCGAGATAAATGCTTTTCCCTGGCATGTTGAGTTTTCCTCGTGCAAAGCTGTTTTGCAAAAGCAACGGAGCATACAGATAGCCTTGAAATATTTCAGCCTGGAAAGATTATATCGTGATTTAATTTTTAATCAGCTTTTAATCCTAGGGCGGCAGTATAAAGACGGTAAACCTCAGCCCCCTGAATGAATGTGTCCCCTGACTTTGTACTTCACTATAGTATCTCTCTCTGCTTCCCCACAGACTCAGCTGGAAGAGAGTCGTCAGGAACAAGGAGCCTTGTTGCGTGAGTCCTGCCACCTGAAGGAAGAGGTTCAAGAGTGGAGAAGCCGCGCAGCAGATCTAGAAGCAGCACTGAGCTCCTTACGTGATGAGCACACCAAGCTGGCTGCACAATATAAGGCAAGGCAGAAAGCAAGGTTTTACGGCAGGACTTGCCAGCTCTTTCAGATCCAGCCTCTTCCCAAGCTTCAGGAAAGGGGTTGTGTTCCCATCATCTTACGAAGCAAAAAGCTCAGGTGGCCACAAAACTTGGTACAACATCTGACTCCAGGCCTGCCGCAAGATCTGAGTATCCCTTCTGAGAATTAGAACAATTAACCAGTGGAACACCTTGCCTCCAGAAGTTGTGAATTCTCCAACACTGGGAGATTTTAAGAAGAGATTGGACAACCGTTTGTCCGAAATGCTATAGGGTTTCCTGCCTGAGCAGCAGGTTGGACTAGAAGACCTCTAAGGTCCCTGTTATTCTGTTCTATTCTATTTTGTACAGCGGGATGCCCCTCTCCCTTAATGCTTGCATGATATTAGCTCATATGCATGCAGTGATTATTAAAATGTCTGCAAAGGATGCTCCCATACACCAGGTTCAGGAGAACATTAGTAGAAAAGGAGTATGTCTCCATCTCATATTTTATGTCTGGTTGGGGATCATGAGAAATAACTATTCTGAATCAAAATGAGCCTTACTTTCATCCAGTAGGGCTATTCATATGTTGCTATGTTCAATTTTGTCAGCAAAACGACCATGTTTCTCATAAAATAAGGCCAGGTCTTATATTTTTTTGAGCCCCGAAAAAACGGCTAGGCCGTCTTTTCGGGGATGACTTAATTCCCCCCCTTGCATCCTCATCTAGAGCGCCCCGTGGGCAGCCTCACCACCAGCCACTCCTAACGGGTGATCATGGTGAAGCGCAGAGAGCTCCCTACTCCCATCAAACACCTTTGCTGCAGACCCAAGACCTTTGGCACCTGCCACTGTTGCTTTCCCTTCTGCCTATTCCACCGCCACGTTTGGAGCTGCCGCTTCTGTGTTTGGAGTGCCGCTGCCATTTGGAGTGCCGCCGCCATTTGGAGCACTGCTGTCATGTTTGGAGCTGCCACTTCCGCGTTTGGAGCTGCCGCCGCGTTTGGAGTGGCGGCAGCACTCCAAATGGTGGTGGTGCTCCAAACAACGGCAGTGCTCCAAACGCAGAAGCGGCAGCTCCAAACGCGGAAACAGCAGCTCCAAATGCAGACATGGCAACTCCAAACAGCGGCAGTGCTCCAAACAGCGGTGGGGTTCCAAATGCGGAAGCGGCAGCTCCAACCGCGGCGGCAGCTCCAAATGCAGAAGCAGCAGCTCCAAACAGCAGCAGTGCTCCAAACAGCAGTGGTGCTCCAAACGTGGAAGTGGCAGCTCCAAACGCCACGGCGGCATGGGCAGAAGGGAAATCAACAGTGGCGGGCGCTGAAGGTCTTGGGTCTGCCGCAAAGGTGCTTGGCAGGAGTAGGAAACTCTCCGCGCTCTGCCATGATCGCCCATTAGGAGCAGCTGGTGGTGAGGAATTGCTGCCTGCGGGGCGCTCCTAGCGGCAAGTTCCCCCCCGCCCTTCCCCCCATTTTGCATGTTTTAAAATAGGCCTAAATTTGGGGGAGAGGATCTTCATTTCATTTTATGCCTAGAAAACATGCTGGGTCTTCCTATTGGGGGAGGTCCGTATTGTTGGAGAAACACGGTAGTAGCTGGGTTTTTAGATTTTATTCAAATGTTATAGACATCATTCGCTTTTCTTCCTCTCTACCCTCAACCAGGAACTGTCAAATTCTTACGGAGAAATCTCCAAGCAGAGAGATACTCTAAGCCTTCAAGACACTGAGCAAGTGGCCCGAATCCAGGAGCTGGAGGGCGACATCCAGGCGATGGGGGAGAAGATGCTTCAGAGGGAGACGGAATTAGACAGGTCAAGGCCGTGTCAAACAAAGCACCTCAAGTACAGTCAAAAGGGAGAGGGATGGCGGGAGGGGGAAAAGGGGTGGGAGGGAGGACAATACCTTCTGAGCTACCGATAGGCAATCAGTCCTGTTGATGTTCGGATTAGAACTCCTATTAACTCAGACTACTGGAAGTTTCTAGGAGCAACAGAACCGGGGGGGTATCCGATTGGGATGGACTGAATTATATCTTCTCTCATGCTAAAGTCAGAATCATCATAGAATCAGTTCTCTGTGCCATTCCAACTCAATCTCGAGGAATTGTCCCAGGATTTAATGTCTTGTGTCCTAGTTTCCATATCTTTGGTTTTATCAGGGGATGTCCACTACCATTCGGATCATGAATTAAACGTGGGTGGAGGAAGTAATAGGGATGAAGGAAGTTTAGGGATCAATACTGATTTTTTACATGGTTTGTAACAAGCCTACTCTTGGGGAATTAGGTTATGTTGGGGAATGTTTTCATACAGAGAAGCCGATCTATTTAATAACCTAGTGATGCCTTGAAATTAATAGGCTGTGGCTAAAATATCATCTTGGAATTAGGCTGCTGGGCTATTGGATGCTCATGCTATATTGAGGAAGATGCAAAGATGAATTAAAGGATAGTTTCTAAATACTGTGTTTCTCGTATAATAAGGCCGGGTCTTTTTTTTTTTTTTTGAACCCCGAAAAAATGGCTAGGCCGTCTTTTCAGGGGTGACTTAATTTCCCTCCCCCCCTTGCATCTTTGGGCGGGCGGGCAGCGATGGCTTGGATGTTGACCTCGGCGTTAGTGGGGCACTTCGTATCGGGGTCAACGCAGGCAGCACCATATCCGGGTGTGCAACAAAAGTACTTCCTAACGGCAAGCCCCCCCCCACCATTCCCCTCCATTTCGCATGTTTTAATATAGGCCTTAATTTGGGGGGAGGGGCTTAATTTCATTTCATGCCTATAAAACATGCTGGGACTTCCTATTGGGGGAGGCCGTATTGTTGGAGAAACAGGGTACGTATGTATGTACGACAGACAGACAGACAGACAGACAGACAGACCTATTTTAGAGATGCCCCTGAGTAGAAAGAGCACAGTGGATATTCCTCACACGTGCATGTACTATTTGGATCATTTCTGCTGCAGGGTGAAAGACACAGTGAAGTCACTTGTGAGGGAGCAGGAACACATCCACCATCAGCTCAAAGAAGAGAATGCTGAGAAAGAGCAGTACCAGGTGAGCTTGAAGCAACAGGTTTGAAAAGAGGGACGCAAAGAGGAGCAGGAAAACCAGAGCTGATGGCATGTTGGAAACGTCTTCTCTCCTCTGCAGGTCAAGCTGCAGGCTTCCAAGGAGGAGACCCGTAGCCTGGCCTCCGACTTGCAAGAAGCCAAGACTCGTCACGGTGAGAAAATCTCCCAGGCTCTCATGCTGCAGGAGGATATTCAGAAGCTGCAGCAGAAGCTGGCAGCCGCTAACCGCCGCACAGTAAGCACCTGAAGACAGGAAGCCTCTAAGAATATTAAAAATAAGGTTTATCAAGTCCAGTGTGCTGTCTCTAATGGGCTGGTCTTGGTGTCCTCCCAGAACTTCTCAAGACACCCAGTCTTGATAACCTATCTCCGGCACCTAGTAATTTCTCTCCTTATGCAAGGAACCTCTTTTTCTCTATCCCAAATGAAAGTAATCATCTCATTTCATTGAGTATGGAACCTTAAGTAGCCATCCAGTGGATATCTCTAATCCAGTAGTCTATGCCCACTTTTCATTACTAAAAGAAAGGTAGTAGTTTACAACAAGAAGGAATCCAGGATTTCAGAATGATATTTTAGACCAGGGGTGTCAAATTCAATTTCATTGAGGACCGCATCAAGGCTGTGGTTGACCTCGGGGAGCCGGGTGGGCATGACCAACTGGGTGGGTGTAGTCAGCTTGACACCACTCATTGGGTATGGCTGCCTGGATGGGCGTGGTCAACTGGGTGGGTGTGGCCAGCTTGACACCACTCCCCAAACTGCTGGCATGTTTCGTCTTCGTACTGGGTAGACTAGGCCAAAGACAGGCTGGCCCAATGTTTTCTCTTTGCATTGGGTAGACTGGGCCAAAGCGATACAGGGCAGCCCCTTATATTTTCCAGGACAGCCCCCGGACCAGATCTGGCCCGGAGGCCTTGTGTTTGACACCCCTATTTTAGACTGATAAAAAACGAAGTTGGACAAGGAAAGTTCAGATCAGAACATGTCATAAACAAAAAATGTAGGGTGATGTCGCTTCAGGCCCAACCCCTTTTCTCCAAATGTGTATTTTGTGGAAGAAGATTCATGTACAAAATGGCACCAGGTTCTAGTGGGCACTTCATGAATTAGTTTTTTAAAATTCTAGAGAAATAAGGTATTTAATTATGGATGAAGTCCCTTAAACTCATGGGCTTTGTTTCATAAATAGTCTTGGAACAAAGTTATTGACAACAGAGGTGGTTTCATATTAGAGAACAAGAAAGAACTGACAAAAAATTAGCCACCCCTGATTTAGGCAAAACCAGTTGTTCTGTCAGGACTTGCAGGGCAGAGGAATGGATGGGTGGGAACCAGAACCCAGGGATTTATTCTTGGCCCAAGGAAAGAAACCAGATCAATCTCTCTCTCTCTCTCTCTTTACGAAAATGAGAAGAAGAAAAAAAAATTTGTACAAGAATTAGGTTAGAGCTTGAAAACCTGAAATACATCAAGTATTGGAAGACACTCCCATCCTCCATAATCAATACTTGTACTTGCTGGGACTGGTTCCCACTTCAGGACTAGAAAGTGTGCTGAATCCTAACGGCTAACATTATAGACCACCTATCCTCTTCCTGGAGCTCTCCAAGTGCCATAAAGGTTGGACTTGGTCTCTCCACCTTCTCTTGGGCCTCTTCTTCTCATCCCTCTCTCTTTCCAGGCACAGATGGAGTCCCTGTGTGAACAATTACGCACCACACAGGACGTTCTGGCTGCCAGCCAGCAGAAAGTGGCTCTCTTAGGGGAAGAGCTAGCCAGTGTGGCCTCCATCCGAGACCGTACCATCTCCGATCTCCACAAGAGCCGCCTTGAGGCGGCTGAGGTCAACATCAAGCTTGCTGACATGACCCTCAAGTGGAAAGAAGGCAAAGGCCAATGGTGGAAGGAGAAAGCCATGCTGTTGCAGAATGTAGAGGTATGTGCCTGTGGTCCCCTAAGTCAGTGGAGCAAACTTCTGTGTTGTTGTTTTTTTTCCTTCATCATTTATGTTCTTTTTGTCTTATGGGAAGAAACCATGTATGTGGAAGCCTCGTCTCATTTACCTTCTCAGCAATCCAGGACTGAGATCGGATTGAGAGGGAGCAAATGGTCTGGAATTATTTATAATCAAGTGGAATTATTCCGACACCAGAGCTCCTTCATCCTAGGCCAATATTTTCAGCACTGCCTTCCCCAATTCACATACGCATTGCTTATTTCTTTGTAGCGGAGAGAGGGAATAAAGCAAAAGGATCCTGACATGCATTGATCTTTTGTTTTGGATTGAAATTAAACTCTGGGGAAGTTTTTAAATCAGTTTTGCATGCAGAAAGAACAAAAATCCCCAAGCAGTTGAATGCCAAGAATGAATGTTTGGCAGTTTCAAAAGAAAAAAGAACAATATGGCTTTGGAGCTAAATTAGTCCTTATTTTAAAGGGATAAAAGACAATATTAGTAGCTCAAGAGTTGAACTGTGAATCCTTGGTGCTCTCTAAGCTTGGTTGTTTTCTTGCAAATGTTTCATTACCAAAGTAGGTAACATCCCTAGTGCTGACGGTGTTACCTAGTTTGTTAATGAAAAATCTGCAAGAAAACAACCAAGCTCAGAGAGCACCCAGGACTCCACAATATTTAGTTGTGCCCTCTCCAGATTCCCTTTCTGGGAAATGTCTCAAGGAAGGGATAAACTTTTTCTAGTATGCTGCACTAGGTTATCTTCTATAAGCTAAATAAAGCTAAGTCTTATTGAGAAGGATGCGTTAAAGGGTGCAGGTTTCCATCATTTCAGATTTTATGTGTAGGAATTTGGAACATTTGAATTTGAAAGGGGGTGTTTCGACTGTAGTGTTCCTCCAACCATTCTGAAAGTGTTCTGAACTTAAAGCACTCCTATAGAATTGGCCTTCTGAGCTTAAAATGGGGCTAGTTTGAACTTCAAACACTTCTGGTAAGGTCAAAACAGTTTTGAAACATCCAGTGAAGCCTGAGTAGCTGTTCCAAACACCAGTTGCCTTGATGATTTGTCTTGAAAAGTTTCAGATGTAAAGTGTTTTACTTACTATTTGAAAGAATCTCATGTTATGTTTGAATTTTGTACATGTGTTATTTTTTTTCCAGTAGGACCACAAACATAAATTTTCAGCAATGTAGTTTGCTCTGTGGGATCCCTTTTATCAGTAGTGTGGATCTTGTGGAGAACTATTCTGTCAATATTGACTGTGTTGAGTCCTCCCCTCCTTGGGGTCTTTCCTTCCTTCCTTCCTTCCTTCCTTCCTTCCTTCCTTCCTTCCTTCCTTCCTTCCTTCCTTCCTTCCTTTTTTCTTTTATTTCCCTTACTGTTGAGACAGGGACAAAATTGCTGGGATAACTAAATCTATAGATGACTCCTTCCTAACCTAGCAGTTCTTTAGAATTGTAGATGTCCCTGAACTAAAACATTTGCTATCTCTGACAACATGGTCATTGCTGAGGAGTTGATGGGTTTATTTGTTTATTTATGTGTTGAATTCATAGTTACATGGTTGCCCATCTGACTTGCTTGTGATTCTGGGCAGCATACGCAATTAAAACAAAATTTACAAAGTTTACATAATTTATTAAACCCAACTAAAAACTGTAATAAGAACCATTACTGTCGTTAAGTAGCATCTAGGCTTCCTTGGGTTCTCCAGCCCTGCATATTTCATGAAGAATCCGACCATGCCAAGTTCTTGAATAGCTTTCCCCATAGAGCAGATGGGTGGGTGGGTGGGAGTAATCTCATCCTGCACTGACCCTTCCTTTCAAATGTATGTTTTGTTAGGCAGAGAAAGATAAGATCCTGAAGCTGAGTGCCGAGGTTCTCCGCCTTGAAAACAGCCTGCAAGAAGAACGGGCACAGTGCCAGGTGTTGCGTATGGACCTGGCACAGGAACGGGATGCCAATCTGGTAAACTATCTCTCCTGGTGGGGAAAAAAAAAAAAAGATTCCATCATTCAAGGCGGGAGGGAAAACAGAGACTTTGGGCAATTATTTCTGCCCTCTCACAAGTAGAAGCTGTTTGCAGAATAAGATTGCCAAGCTTCCAGGAAGAGGTTTAACTCCCTTGCCCGCTGTCTGGATGGGTTGCAAGGCATCTTTACTTTGCAAGGATCACCAGCAGTGAAAGTTTTGAAAAGAGCTCTTGGTGCTTTCTCTCCATTGCAAGACAAATGGTCCTTTCTGAGACTTTTTGAAATATCAGCTAAAGGCTAACAGAGCCCATCCTTCCATTTCATTTCTCTTTTTCGAGTTGCCAGTCACTATCCTGTTGTCATCCTTAGTTCTCACTGAGAACTTTTTTTTTTTGCGCAGACCTTCACAGTCCTGTATACCCAATTATTTGGTTAGATGCATCTACAGAATAGGTCTTCCTAACTTGGGTGCTCTCTAGACTGCAACTCCTTTAGGTCTGTCTTGACCATCCTGGCCAGGAGGTCAAAGAACTGTTGTCTCACTGTATCAGGAGACCACCATTAAAGTTAGGGAAGACTTAAAATGGATCCAGCATGCCGGTTCTCTTATCCCGGATAAACCTTTGCTAGCACAGATTCTAAGACAAAGCTGGACCACATGAGGCCCATGGACTACACTAGGCTCATCAAACATCCAGGGGTGGGATTCTACCGGTTCAGACCGGTTCAGGCAAACCATAGTTCCAGTGATCATTTGGCCCCACCCACCCGCCCCTGACCTTTTCCTGTGCTTCATTTCCTTGTTTTTGAGCACAGCTGATTCGCGCAGCAGAGCAGTTTGTCGCGGATCAGCTGTTTTACTCACTGCAGCAGACGGTAAGTATTATAGCTAAAAGTGATCTTTTCTAAATGCGCACGCAAAGCATGCGCTCACCGAACCGGTTGTTACACCGGTTGAATCGCACCACTGCAAACCTCCCTGTGGGATTTGATGCTGCTTATTAAAAAGTTGTTACATTCACTACCACTCAAAAAAAGGTGTGCTTCTGAGTATCTCTGGCTTCACTGCTGCCCCTTGTTCGAGCGCTGCCTCCTCTCAACTAGCAGCTGATTGATCCTCCAGGTATTGCCTTGCAGCGCACAATTATTTTTAATTCATCAGTGTGGCCCTTTCCCCTCTCTGGGTTATGCAGGCCTGCTCTAGTGGCAAGGTAACAATAAATGGGCAAAAAAAGAAGCCTAAAAGGCCTTTGGGGAATGGAGTTGGCCAGTGATGAAGGGGAGGCTCTGCTCCACGTTAAGTGAATCACTTTATTTGCTAAGTTAGTAACATAGTTGTTAAGTGAATCTGGATTCCCCATTGACTATGCTTCTCAGAAGCTGATCACATGACCCTGAAGACACTGCAACCTTCATAAATATGCACCAGATGCCAAGTGTCTTGAGTTTTGGTCGTGTGAGCATGGGGATGCTCCAGCGGTCATAAGTGTGAAAAACACTCCTAAGTCACTTTTTTCAGTGCCATTGTAACTTTGGACAGTCATTAAATAAACTGTTGTAAGTCGAGGACTACCTGTATTTTGTTCTCTAGTGGGATTCATAACTCTCTATATATGTTATTCTAAAATTCTGCTTTGGCCAACGTCACTTTTGATCTCATCAGGTTCAAGTCTCTGAGAACCGTCGCGAGCTACGGGAGCTACGGGCTGCCCTGCAGGTTGGCCAGAAGGAGAAAGAGCAACTGCAGTCCGAAAAACAGGTTAGTGTGGCATCCAAATGGAGGGGAGAAAGGCTGGCCGTAGCCTGAATTGAGTATGAGAAGAAGACGCTACTCTTCAGGGCTTAATGCTGATACATTGCCCTTTCCTTGCCTTCAGGAGCTGCTGGTGTATATACGCCGCCTTGAAGAACGTTTGGAGAAAGTAGCAGATGAGAAATGGAGCGAATCAGTTCTGATTGATGAAGAGGAGAGAGCTCTGGATACTCCTGGTTAGTTCCACTACTATCAGCTGTCAGCCCGGCCAATTATATTTAATGACCCCGGTCCATGCTATCAGTGACCAAGACACACACGCACACCAAAAATGTAAGGATCAACAGACTTTGTTGAGTTCTGAAACTAGCCTTGTGAATCAAAATGTTCAGGCATCCTTAAACTTATTCAGAACGGAGCGGTCAGCGGTCTTGATGGAATTTACCTTGAGATTTAAGCTGCTTCTCCAGAATGTTGTTTAGCTAAATCTTTTCTTCCCATATTTAATCTGAAATGGGCAATATAGGGTTGATGGATTTTAATTCCTATGAGTCCGTCGTGGCCAACAGTGAGGAATGATGGCAGCTGCAGTGCAGCAATATCTTTGTCAGCTTTGGAATCCTTCTTAAAAGCTGACACACAGCTGCGGAGGATGGAAGGGGGGCTACTCTTGTTTGAGTAGCTTTCAGTAGACAAAATAGATATATTACACCGTCAGGGTCATTCTCTATGGCGCAGCAAGAATTATAGCTAAAAGGTGATTGGTTCACGTGATTTATGATGTGATAAAAAGGGGTGCGGGTAGGCTAAGTCTTGTGGGAAGTTGGGAGGAAACTTTAGTTCCGGAATTCCACAGACGTGCCAAGTTTCTGTTCTAATAAAGCACTTTGAGATTATGTTTGTCTCGGAGTCATTGATTGGAATGGATAATTTCTGGAACCCTGACATTATTCCGGAATTCCACTAAAGGGGCTGCTGAAACCCCAAGGGACTTTTTTTTTTCCCCAGCGATGGAGAAAGTCCAAGAATCAGCTAACACTGAAGGTGAGACGGAAGGAACTTCGGGAGGGCCCTCCAGAGCATTAGCTGAATCCCTCAACCACCCCTTTGAGGAGATGATGCCAGCCTTCAGAAATGCAGAAGAAAGACAGGATTTAGGAGCCAGGCCAAGACGTTCCAACTCTTGGGGGAGTTGTCAGACGGTGTTAAATAGACTGCCTGGGGAAAAATCCTTTTCGAGCCCTCTGCATACAGCAAAGGAGGCAGACTGGAGGGATGAGGCCCAAACTGAATGGGAACCCTTTCAAGGTGACAACCCCCAGGTTTATTCTGGAAGCCAGTCGTTAGCAGAATTACCACAACAATTCCAGCAATTAAAAGTGGAAAGTTTTGTCTCAAAGCCACAACCTATCTGGCCAAGTTGGAGCCTGGCACAGCCCATCTTCTTGTTCCCAAGTGTTATGAGGGAAGAGGAAATTACCCAGATGCCAAGTGGAGAGGCCCAGCGTGGCAGCCCACAGCGACAAGGGCTGCTGACTAGAAGAGGTATGTTGCAACCTCTAAGTCCTACTCAACACCCAGAAAGGAGTTTACACCCTGCAGAAAGTATCTCTCCAGGGTGGGGATTTTATCCAGGCCAGGGGGTGGATTCAGTGCCAATGGATGCCAGCGCCAACAAAGCCCTGGTCCAAAAGGGAGTCAGAAATTCCTGTCCCACAAGGGGATCTACACGGACAGCAGTCACTCCCCCTCCACCCAGGCAGAGTTCAAGGCAATGCCCACCTTCCTCATGGCAACCACCAATTGAAACCCACTTGGAGCAACCCTGCAGAAACCTCTCTCCCAGAGAGACACAACCCAGCCAGGCCTCAGAAGACCTTCCCAATCTAGATACACACCTCATCAGGCTCCTTTCATTCCAGCTCAACCTGCAGGTGCCAGGCCAGTACCACCTCCCCAACCACGACCCAGGCCAGACCAGATACAGTTCAAGGCCATTTTCGATGGGTGCCATGAACATTTTAATTACTTCCTCACTCGAATCTGGTCCCACATAGACCAGTCTGGAGACCAATACATGACAGACCGCGATTTGGTTACTGCGATAACGGATGGGTGTATGAAGGGGATGCTTCTGACTGGGTAGCCCAGCTCTACGATGAACAAGCCCCAGAATTACAAGATGTCAATGGATTTATTCGATTATTGAGACTCAGATTTGAAAATCCAGACAGGGTGGCAGAAAATGAAGAGAAGTTAATGGAAATGAAACAGGGCAAGCGACCCTTATCAGATTTTATTTGGGACTTTAGAAGGGTCACGGGCCATCTCATAGATTGGCCTGAAAGAATGACCTTACACTATTTTAAGAATGCCATTGACCCATAAGTAAAGAAAGCCTGTAACATTAGAGGAATACCAGAGACTCTGCAAGTGTGGTATGCCACCACCCTCAAATTAGACCACTACATCAACCCACATAAAAAAACCCTACCTGAAGGCCCGTCTAAGAGAACTGTGACCAGACGACCACTGAGCAAACTTGCTGGGGCTACTCACATCCGACCCAACAGGATGATAAAATGTTACCGTTGTGGCCAGGATGGCCATAGAGCAGCAGACTATCTGATTCCCGCACCTGTTCCACAAGCACCACAATCAAGGTCTAGCATGGCTATCAGAGGTCGGAAAAATCAAGGAAAACCTCCTGACACTAGCCGGTTTGCTAGACACATCCTGGAAGGTCCTCTCTATGCAGAAAGGAACAACAAACTTCCAGACCAACACCACCTCCCCGAAAACCCGACCGACGAAGACGACCCAATGGTGAGTGCTGCCATCATACCTTTCACTGTCAAAGTCAAATTAGTGGTACCTAACACAGGGGAGGTTAGGGAGTTAGAAGCTGTCATTGATACTGGATGCTCTAGATGCCTTATTGGACTTCCTATCGTTGAACAATTGGGCATAAAGACTAACCCACTAAAACGCCCAATCAGATTTGAGCAAGTAGATGGGACATTAACTGGGGAGACCCCAGCAACCCAAATGACAGAGTTGATCAAAATGGAAATGGGTCTTCACCGTGAACTCATATGCTTTATAGTGGCTCCAAGAATGTCAGAATTGGTCATATTGGGACTTGCTTGGCTAGATAAATAGACCCCTACCATCAAGTGGGAGGATGGATTCAGGAAAATCATTATTGGATTGGGCCCATTGCCCCCGCTTCCTCCCACTAAGAAAACACCACCCGACTTGAATCCAAAACCTGAAGCAGCAGCCACAGCCTCAAACCTTCTTCCAGGTACTCCCCAAGTGCCCAGACAATATAGATACTTGGCTGAGGCATTCAGTGAAGAGGAATGTAATATTTTACCTCCCCATCAACCCACGGATTGTGCCATAGAATTAGAACCCGGGGCAAAACTGCCAAAAGCAAAGATGTATTCCATGACACCAGCTGAAATGACTGAATTGAGGAAATACATCGATAGTAATTTGGAAAGAGGTTTCATTGAACCTGCCAAATTTAAATTGGCCACTCCAGTGCTGTTCAAAGAAAAGAAAGATGGCGGGTTGAGACTATGTATTGATTTTAGGGGCGTGAACGCCATGTGCGTCAAAAACATGTATCCTCTCCCCCTTATGAAGGACTTATTAAACCACCTGTCAAAAGGCAAGGTCTTCACCAAGCTAGATCTGAGAGAAGCTTGCTACTGAGTCCGCATAAAAGAGGGAGATGAATGGAAAACAGGCTTTAACTGCCCTTTAGGTAATTTCCAATTCAGAGTCACGCCTTTCGGACTTCAGGGGGACCCTGCAATATTTATGCAACTCCTCAATGAAGTGTTACATCTGCACCTGTACCGGGGGGTCCTCGTATACCTGAAAGACATCCTTATATTCAGCGAAACCATCGAGGAACATATCAAATTGGTCAGACAAGTCCTGAAAAAACTTCTAGCTACCAAGCTGTATGTAAAACTGTCAAAATGCGAATTCCACAGGAAGTCACTGGATTAATTAGGCTACCGAATTTCCAACCAGAAAATGGAGATGGATCCTGGAAAAGTGAAAGCCGTGCTGGACTGGCAACCTCCCAAAACACGAAAGCAACTTCAAAGTTTTTTGGGTTTTGCCAATGTCTATAGACAATTCATTCCTTCATTTGCAGAGGTTGCTTATAGTAATGCAGTACATAGCAGCACAGGGTTGACTCCATTCCAAATGAACACTGGCATGGAATTTGTCCCTATGCCAGAATTAACTAGAGAACCTCCTACATCCATGTCTGTAACAGAATGGATGAGCTCATTAAAAAAAAAGGTTGGGAGAAGACAAAAAAAAAACTTTAACTGAAGCTGCAAAGGATTACAAAAAGCAAGTGGACAAAAATAGATCCCTTCAACCACCATTTAATATAGGAGACAAAGTATATTTGTCAACCAAATATCTTAGATTGAAACTTCCTAGTAGGAAGTTAGGACCCAAATTCTTAGGTCCATTCCCAATTTCGAAAATAATCAATCCAGTCATGGTCCAATTAAGTCTTCCCCGGCTATTGGGGAAAATCCACCCAGTGTTCCATAGTAGTTTATTAAAACCAGCTGTTACATCAATGCTAAGACCAATACCAATTGCTCCCCCTAAACCTTTAATTATACAGGGTGAGACACATTATGAAATCAAAAAAAAATCCTTGATTCAAAATAACACCGAGGTCAGTTGCAATATTTGGTCTTATGGAAAGGTTACCCTATATCAGATGCTACTTGGGTAAAAAGTTGGAACGTACATGCAGATAGATTGGTTAACCAATTTCATCAGGAATTTCCCAACAAACCAAAAGGTCCTCTTGGGTGGTGGGGTTAAGACATAAGATTAACCCCTGTTTGTATTTGTTCCTTATGTGTTTTTTTTGGAGGCGAAATTTTCAAGGGGGGATGCCTGTCAGCTTTGGAATCCTTATTAAAAGCTGCCAAACAGCTGCGGAGGATGGAAGGGGGGGGTACTATTGTTTGAGTAGCTTTCAGTAGACAAAATAGATATATTACACCATCAAGGTCATTCTCTAGGGCGCAGCAAAAATATAGCTAAAGGGTGATTGGTTCATGTGATTTATGATGTGATAAAAAGGGGTGGAGGTAGGCTAAGTCTTGTGGGAAGTTGGGAGGAAACTTTAGTTCCGGAGTTCCACAGATGTGTCAAGTTTCTGTTCTAATAAAGCACTTTGAGATTATATTTGTCTTGGAGTCATTGATTGGAATGGATAATTTCTGGAACCCTGTCAATCTTGAGTACTAAATGTTTACTACTCTGGTGGGTAGGGCCACAACTGAGAAAAACTATCTCTGTTGGTGCAGTTTGTAATTCTTCCATTTTTTTCTCACTCTGTGGGAACTCTGTGGCGTATTCTATAATGAAGCTGTAACATCAGAATTTAGATTTTGTGAGATATTTCTTCTGGGTGGATGGAACATCCTTTCCTAGGAACTTTCAAAAGGAGAACCTTTTGCTTCCCTTCCCCAAATCCATGCCAAGCACATTAGGAAATGTTTACTGTCTCCCGTTCTTGCCTTCAAGTTAGCATTGACTCCTGAGGACTGCTCAGCTAAGTCCCTGCAGATTTTTTTGGGCAAGGTTTTTCAGAAATGGTTTGTCATTATCTCCTTCTTAGGACTGAGAAAGAAGGACTGGCCCAAGGACACCCAGCTTCCATGTCTGTGGCAGGACTAGAACTCATGATTTCGTGGTTTCTAGCCTGATATCCTAACCACTACACCAGACTGGTTCACTATCTTCTTATCTGAAATCAATTCAGTTCTGATGAAAGGAAGATAGGAGGGAGAAGGCAACCAAAGAAGGAAATGTCAAATAAATTTCTGGGATCAGGACAAGTTTGGGTGTGAAGAAGTAGAGGAAGGGAGAATGGTGATCAAACAAAAAAGGCCAATATGCAGGGCCTAGCAATGACTGTGTGAAAAGCCCTTATTTTTCAACTTTTAGAGAGCCCCAGCCTTCTTGTGTCTGCATTCTGAGTAATGCATCCACCAAAAGCAGAACTCCGAGGCAGGTAGATTCCTCAAAGAACATGTTTATTGGATACAACTTATCGGCACAGCAAGTGAAAACCAACTCTAAAAGTTCCTATGGTTTTTAGCCTAATTAAAAGAGCAAATGTTTCCTTCCCCAGATGTCCAATGAAAGTAGCTGGCAGGCTGATTGGTCACTTCTCATTCAACTGCCACCTGTTGGGATGACCTTGGTTCCCACAAGAAAACTTTTTGTTTTGACTGTTAACCAGTCTATCTACTTCCCCCTCCCTTCCCCGCTTCAGAGTTTGTGGCAACTATGAAATAGCAAAAGATGGCTTCAGCCAGGTTTGCTTCAGAGTTGACATCTTGTTCTTCAGAGCACCTTCCTTTTAAGGCTCCTTTTTGAGGGCAGGAATTGGAAGTATCCCACCCAGCAACCCTGGATTAACCATTAACAAAATAAACATGTGCTTGGAGCACCAATGGACAGGAGGGCAGATTTACCTCCTAGACAGACATCCAGTTTCAGTTTCAAGCCCCACTAGGAGGCTAACTAGAGCAAACCGAGCAATGTTTTTCTCTGCAAGGTGAGCCTCTACTGGGAGCATCATTGCTTTCTAGGAGAGATTTGTTTTTTTTCACAGACACATCTAATGCCATCTCCTCCATTTTCATCTTCCAGGCTCCCTGGGCTCCTCGCTGTCTGATTCTGAGGACGAATGCCCTGAGGACATGCGTCTGCCTGCCCAGCTCAGTTCTTACAGCCTGTGTGACACCCGGGCACTGACCACCAAGCCTCCCTGTGCCCACGGCTCATCTCACACAGTGGTGATCAGCCAGCCTGCTCCTATTGCTAGTCAGATCAAACAGCTGCCCAAGGATTCCAGTTCTGACTCGGTGAGGCCCTGAGAAGCAAGGAAGGACCCAGCTCAGCCCAAGTAGAGCTGTCCAAGGCAAAGGACAAAAGAGTTGCTTTGGGGATCCAGCCAAAGAGATGATCTGGCCCAGGGATAGCGCACTGTGGGTGCCTTCATGCCATGGAATCCTCGAAGGAGGCCTGGCACTTTCACAAAACGTTTGCTATTGGAGCACAACCACAAGGAAGACAGCGTGTTAAAGATGCTCCCCATCAACTCACTAGCCTCTCCTAAAGGATGCTTCCTATCATGCTGATTTAGTTTTGTATCTTTTTTGGGAGGCAGGAAGATAGCAGGTCTATAGCTACTCATGATTTTTATTTTCTCAGTGTCTGTCAGATCCAGGAGCAATGTGGGTTTTCTGTGTTATTGTGTATATGTGTGCGTGCGTATGCACACGCACGGACATCTGGGTTAAAGTTTGATGTGCTTACTTTCCATGATACCAGCTTCCAATTTTGTAAATTCAGAGAAACAATAATATCTAAAAGGGACAAGAAATGTGATTAGCACCAAGAGAAGTGCCTACTGACCTGGGTCTGTACCCATCGTCCGAAGCCGTTTAGCCTGATTAGCTACAGCTCTCCAGAATTTTAGGCAAGGACTCTTTCCTTCATCTGCTTCCCATCATTCTTCTAGTTGGAGAGATTGAATCTAGATCTTTCCTGTGCAAATCAGGTGTCCTGAAAGGAGGAGTCTCTATGCATGCATATACTAGAGATAACTCGAGACATAGGAGTTGTAGTGCCCTCTCCAGCATAGGAAAAACAGTCCAGTTCTCGTGAGCACGAGCCAAAGTCAAACCTACTGAAAGCATGCCTCTCTTTCTATTTGTAGGAAGCTGAAGATGAGAAGGCAGTTCTGATGGCAGCTGCCCAGAGTGGTGGTGAAGAAACCAATCTACTCCTTCCAGAACTGGGCAATGGCTTCTGTGAAGTGGCCAGGTGAGGGGAAGTCACTCCATTTGCACTTCATTTCCTTGTCCTCTCTCAGATGTATTGGACTATACCTCGAATCACTCCTGGCAACCAGCTTCCGGGCAAGGGCCAAATCTGGGAGTATGCCAGAGAATAAGCTGAAAACACAGAAACTGCAATTATTTCTGTAAGAGAAATCTTGGCTTTCTTCATGGGTGGGCAGGGGGGAAAGTGTTACCAGCAACGTCTGAACGTTTTTCTAGGTGGTAGCTGTCAAAAGCTCAGAACCCAGGGACCTGGCCAAATTGGGGTTCCAGAAATTCGGTAACCTAAAGTGCTCCCTAGCCACTTTGTAAACATTCCAAAGCCAGACAGGTCATGGCTTGAAAAGAAGAAAGCAAATGCTGATTATGCAAAATACGAAACGCATGGAAAAGTACCCAGTTTAATTAGGGTTTCATCTTCCAGTTGCCCATAGTGCCAGACTGGACTGTGTTAACCGCCAAACTGTATATATAATGACACAGAGAATATACACAGCCTTAGCTGTGGAACCCTGAGATCAAAGTTTCCCATATTTTTTTCAGAATAAAAGCTGACTCCACTTTGGTATCTAAGCTCCTTTCTCCTCTGCCCATTTTTCTCTCTTGTAAATTCATCATGCCTCTGTATCCTCTTCCTTCCCATCCTTTCGGCACCACTAAGCCTCACACTTATAGGTGTCTCTTTCCCCCTCCATTGTTTTTCTTCTGTCTCCTTGCTGAGTCTGATTGCCACAGGTGTTAGCTATATGCTTAGTGAAGGGCTTGTTTAGCTTAAGGGCCCCCCGTGTGTCTGGTAGGATGAAGCTTTTCCCCTGCCTTCATATGTGATGAATGTATCTTGGCTTACACTGGAGATCAAGTCTCACTGACCTTAATTCTGTGACCCTAGGCATCTTGGGCCTTGTCTGCCTGAGCAGTTCTTCATTCTACTCTGGTTTTGCACAGTGAATCCTGCGGGAGAATGTTCGGCACCATTTCAGAAGATCAGTTTATTAAATTTTACTTTTTTTCTCTCTCTCTCTCTCTTTTCTTTCCTCCGTGCTCAGTGGGCTGACAGGGCGGCAGATGTCAGAACCAAACGGAATGGGCGTATCTCCCTTGGACCTGCCCTCTCCAGGCTTTTGGAAGGAGTGTCCCATCTGCCATGAGCGCTTCCCACCTGAGAGTGACAAGGAAACTGTTGATACGCATGTTGACGGTCACTTCTTTTTCAGCACCCACGACCCCTTTACTTTTGAATAAGCTTCTGGCCTCCATCACCACCACCACCACCATGTCCCCTTGTTTTCCCCCTCTGTCATTTCAGTAGGATTCAGGCTGGCTCCTTCCCTCTCTTCTTGCTTCCATAGAGAGCTTCTTAAGAAGAATGAATTATCCTAGCACAATTCTATCCTTGGTTTGGTGGCTGTAAAAAAACTGTTGTCTTCCAGGGACCCTTTCCAAGGCAGAACAGTCAGAACCATCTTGCATCAGGGATGGGAATTACGTGAACTGTAGCGGGATGGGCCGTGTATCGCCATAGAGTGGTAGTTGTCCAGGCATTTGGGGTGATCTTTTACAGATATCCACCATGACTTTGCCTTCTTGTTTGCCTGACAATGTGCTGCAAAATTCTTAAAAATGCTTGCATCAGCAAAACCCACCAAATTATATGTAGGTCCTCCCTGCGTATATGCCCAGAAGCTTTATGGTCCCTATGCTGTGCAAGGAAATCATTGGTTTTCACACTGTCCAGTGACCATCAAATCTCACTACGGAAGGTAATGACACTCTGACCTTTGCCCTGGAAGGACTCTGTAGACTAGGGCTGTCAAACTCAAGTCCTGCGGGCTGAATGCGTCACCTACTGGCCACCTGGGCACCATGCCTGGTTTAGCGAAGGCGGGGGAGTTCCAATATGTCATGTGATGCTGTGACAATGTGAGTTTGACACCCCTGCTGTAAACTTTATAGAAAATCAGGAGCAACTACAACTGAGATATGATAATAGCACTTAGCACGTAGACGTATATATCTCCCCATAGTGCTTTACTGCTATTATAGCACTCTCTTGGGCTGTTTGCAATGTCAGCATACTGCCCCCAACAATCTTTGTCCTCATTTTACCAACCTCTGAAGGATGGAAGCCTGAGTCAACCTTGAGCCCGGTCAGGATCGAACTCCAGGCTGTGGGCAGAATTTGTGTGCAATACTGGCTCCTAACCACTGGACCACCACGATTGCTCATTAACAGGCAGACGGAGACAGAGAAGAAGAGGTTTCAGTTTCCTTATCAGTAGCAGCTATATTGAGATCAATGGGAAAGGAAGGCCTTTAAAAGTTGTGTAGGTATTAAGGCTCCAGTCAAACATGCTGCACCATATCTGGTTCTCCTATTACAAAGACTGCTGATTCCTGGCCTCCAGGTCTAATAAGATTCCTTGCGGCTGGTTTCGGCTGGAATCCAGCCATACCTGGGGAGGTATAGACTCTGTACTTCTGGAATAAACCAAAAGTCAGTATTTGAGAAGTTCTCAAATCAAGGATATAAATTCCTTGGTTATAAATAGTTGGGTGAATGTATATCTACAACACAAATGTTTGGGGAAAAGAGTCTGGGGGCAAAAATGTCCATGCTTAGAGAGGACTTCTCTCTCTTCTCAGTGTTAAATATAGAACAGCTCAGTAGCCCACCTATTGTTTAACTCCTCAATATGTAAAAGGAGAGAAAACACATGAAATGCAAATGAACGGATTGTCTGTTTATTGGTTTAGCTACTGGTAACTCTTCCAACAAAACCTCAAAGGATTTTATTGCTTATATTTATATATTATATGGCATTGTATGTGGGCTTTTTAAAATAAAAGCTAAAGCCACCAGGCTCGCAGACATGTAAATTAGAGTAAAATTGAGAAGAGATTCCATAAAATCTCTTTTCTGCATGTCTCCTCACCACGAGGGAACAAAATTATACAAATCCACAGGCAAGGTTGTTTTTCTCCCCTAAACATGATCAATAACTTTCCTAAATGTGGCTGTTACCTTTACATAAATAGCAAAAGGCAAGATTATTCTATTATAATTCCTGTTCTCAAGTATTCCAATGATATTATTTAAACTGGAGAAGGAGGGATAAGGACGTTACAGTAATGTACAGTAACTGCCATTTCTCTCAAGGAATGGGAAATGGTGAGGAAGGATATTCATGAGAGGTATCTTTAAATTAGAAATTAATTCAAGTGATTTTAATCAAGTTAACTTTCTTTATCTTCCCACCAGAACAGCAATTGGTGCATTTTCCTTCCAGAAGGAACCAAAATGAATAAAGAGCAGAAAAAATAGCATTGGCTATTGCACGAGAATCTTGCAGCAGATAATTCACTTTAAGAATTAGCAACAGGAATAGCATTTTGCCATGACAATAGTATTAAGCAGAAATACACATATTTTTGAGCTAGGGACAATGCATCTGCGGAAAACATCGAAGCATGCTTATCTCGATGCTTTTGATCATAGCTGTGCGTAAATGTACTTTGGCCCCAGACTTCCATTTTCTCACCACAGAATAAATTAGGCCCATTATGCAAGTCAGCTCATACTAAAATAAATTATGCTTCCAGAATAAAAGATAGCAAACATATCTATTTCAGAAGAAAAACCAAATTAAATTACCATAAGATATAGAGTCCCAGATTAGCTTAATTACTCAATTTATATTTAGCACAAATATATATATGATACATTGTATTAGCACAAATATGTACAATAGATTTATATTAGCACAAAATCTCATCAAAAATAACACAAATCCAACGTAGCAAAGAATGTCAATAGCAGGAAAAGGCAGAAACTGGAGTTAGATGATGTGAAGAGCAGGGATGTTCTACAAATAGCCAAAGATAAAAGTTATTAAGAGTGCCAACGCCAACTGCATGGTGTGCAGAACCTCATCGATTAGAGAGTAAAAGCAACCTTGCCAGTCTTACTCAGATTCTTTTGCCTTAATGACGTGGGAAAATACCCGAACAAAGCTGAATACCATACATGTAAGTACCCGCGAAAACTTGAGAAAAAGTGTGTATTTGTTTTCTGAGGTTTTCGCGGGTGTTTGTATGTGGATCTTTGGTTATTTGGGTTTTGTCCCGTGTAAAATTGGAAGTATTTTGGTGACGTTTCGACAAAATGTCATTCGTCATCTTCAGGCTTGTGTCTTTGGCTTCAAAGTCAAATCAATATATATATATAAATATATATATATATATTTGCATTATATCTGCAGTTCTGAACTATTGGGAATGTATAGTTACTCCCTAACACATGATTTACAATTCAAGGCTTCCTCCCCCATTCAGATCGTTTGCATGAGCCCCCCCCCCCCCCACCAGTGAACATGTCTCCCTCTGTGCAAAAAATCGTAATGGCAATCCACAGTGGGACAGTGGGAAAGGTTCCAGGATAATATACCTAACCCGAGACATGGCATCCGTAATTTGGTTCTTCGTAGAAGAAGCTTTCAATCATGATAGGGCTGCGTGAGTAAATGAGATCCAAGACATACCAGAAGAGAGAAGGGTCCACAGATTTACATTTTGGAATGAATCGGTGCAAGGGGTCAAATGTGAAGGTGGTTCTCAACCAGCCACAGTTCCTTAAGTAGACTTGGTGTTTTGTTTTTGTCTTCACCTTTTTTCTTAAGTTGCTCTTTCCCAATGCTGGGCTGAATCTACTGCTGCTTTCTCAACTTGCTGCCTGGTGACTACTGATGCATGTGTGTCTCCTTTCTGTGAGATTACGCCTTTGGCTTTAGTTGCCTCTCCTTTGACATCATAGCCCTTTGTGTGTGTGTGTGTGTGTGTGTGTGTGTGTGTGTGT